TTTTTTTTTTTTTTTGGCTTTCTGCTTTTTTTGTCCAGGGTAACGGCTGCGTCGTCGTGCCGTCCATCTGGTCTCGCACAAAAGAACCGCCTCGGTCATCAATCGGCAGCTCCAGGCCAATCTCTCCCAAGTGCCAGGTCCTGCCTCCCCCTTTTGGCCAATATCGCCTTGGCGATACTAGAGTCGACTCGTAGCCAATACCGTCATCTCTACTGCGCCGGTTAAGGTGGGGGCTGACGGCTGGCCTCGACAGGGCCGAGAGCGTGGGTCAAGATAATGCCAGGTCCACCCGGGCTGGACAGCGACGCGCCCCATCGAGAATGACAGACGAGGGGGCACAGGGACACGCGATATCGACGCGATAGAGTGAAGGGCCTGGGCAGGGCGGTTGGTTGGCAGTGTGCAATTGCGACGGCTTGGTGGTAACCGGGCTGCCGCCTGTCAGCGCCGTTATGGCGCAATTTCGGTCAACAGGCCCCCTGACGACAATGCTGCTGTGGAACATGCCCTCCAAGTCGTTTTTTTCTTTCTGCCTTCTTGGCCTTTTTTTCTCCCTCTCTTGTCCTCACTCTTTAAAGTTTTGCGGGGTTACCGGCCGTCGGAAGTCGAACCGACGATTCGATGTTGGGACCTGGCCTGGAGAGGAAGGGACCTGACTTGACTCCCGTCAATGCTCTGCCGATCACAGATCCTAGCAATTGCGTGCCATGAAAGGCTACACATGTCGGGTTCTTTCTTGCGTCACCAACAGGGAGGGACATGGCGTTGCAAGTGCCGAGAGCGCAGGACACGGCGCAGACGCGAGCAAAAGGGGGACCAGGGCAGCATCGAGACGCATCCAATGTCCCCTTGCATAACACCGAGCTCGATTGAGCTGCCATGTTGGGACTCTGGCAGCCCGATGGGACACTGACATTCGGAACCAACGCTTGCCTCCCTTACTGTAGCGCAGACGCCTAGTGTCGAGTCTACTGCCAGTTTCCTTCAACGGGCGCCAGCGCTCAGTAGCGGCATCGAGGGTGCAACAAGATTTATGTTTTCTCTTTTCATGCACCCCCTTTTTTGCCCTTTGCTTTTTTTTTTTTTTTTTCCTTTTTTTTTTTTTTTCACTTCTCGACTCTGTCCTCCGCCCCGCAATTTTCCTTGCCCGCACGAGCGAGCTTACGAAGGGGAAACAGGCACAGGGGTGTCAGGGCTCCCCTTATCCCCGGCGACCCCCACCGGCCAGTCAAGACGCAGGATTCCTTATCTTTACACACCCGTCTTACTACTGCGCACTTGGAGGGAGAGCGACGACAGACGGCAAGCAGCCGTTCGGCCCGCAACCTACCTAGCCCCAGCGCCGCTTTCGTCGCCTCTAGTGGACATGGAAGCGCCTTCGCCTCTTTTTGCTTTTCGGGCGTTGCTTGCGTTATGGTTGTCTCGCCAAGCGTTGCACCGAAACGATAGGCCGAGAGGCCGTGTCTGCGTGGACATGATGATGGACAGGACGGGGCCGCAATAGGAGGAGGTGCCTGCAAGCAGAAGTCTGCTTGATACAGATCGGCAGCCTGTCCCGACATGCCCACGGCACAGCATGGTGCAGCAGGCAGAAGAGACATATTTTGCCCATTCTGCAGACACGAGGCCTTTAATATCTTAGTTGCCGCATCCGCCGCCGCCCCCATCCAGCCCAGCATCCCATCTCGAGTGGGAGCTGGATACCGCATTTACGTGTGGCCTGTTTTTACCCTCCTTCTGCCTTCCTCCGGAATACCACGCTGTGTGTACGTGTGTGCTGCAGAGTACCATCCATTCTGCTGTGCCCAAGACGGCTGGCTGTTGTTTAGCCCCATCTTCCTCACGGCCCGGCTCCTTCTCGCTTTTCATCTTGGGGTTGCATGGTTCCTTTTTGTCACTCCTTGACCCTTTCTTTTATTGCTCCCCAGGTCCAGTCGTCTTGGCTCATTCCCCGTGATTCCCTGCCTCCCCCTCATGGCTTTTAACCAACGAATCAGCCAAGCCCCTTCATTGGCAGTCACCACTCGCCTCTTCAGACGCCTTGTTGATAACCCCCCCATCTTTCCCCCCTGCCAAAAGCTGCCAGGCCCTGTCCTTAAGTCCCGCCCGCATCATCACGACAAAACGCCAAGAAGCCAGTCACCCTGAGGCTAGGCCGCTTGGGGGTGTTAGCTTCGCAGACTTCTTTGCCTTCAAACCCCCATCACCCCACGTCCTTCTCCGCGGATTTCGAATGCACATCCTTCTCGGGGTCCGGTTTAGCTAGCAAACTTTCTAGCTGAAATCACTTCTTTTCTTCGAGAAGCCGGCCTTACCTAGTGGTTTTGTCTGTTGCAGACCCACCCGTCTCCCGACCAGCAGAGCCGGCCGACAAAGCCAAAGCAACGAAATCGAACGCTCCTGCCGCTGCCGCTGCCGCCGCCGCGTGCCGCCAGCCCGTGTAAATCACAGACGCAACATCGTGTCCGACCGCCCAAGACCGAATCCTTCCACCACGCGACGCGACACCTACCCGTGCTTGCGCCAGGCGCGGCACACTGCCCATCATGGTCACCGTTAACGGGGTTGACATGGATAGCCAGTACATCATCAAAGTCCCTTACAATGGCACAATACCTACTGGCGGCGACCCCCTCAGTCAGAACCTCAACATCTTCTATGAGGTAAGTCCGATGAATTCCCTCAGACCTGACTGACTCTGAGAGAGCTGCTCTCGAGTCATGCCACCTTCACGGGCGAACGGCTTTACATATCCACCATGTATATCGCAACGACTGGCACCTAACGCGCATGCCTTTTTTTTTTTTTTCTCTTCATTTGACAGACCGGAGATATTGCCTGGATGATCACGGCGACCGGGCTGGTCCTTCTGATGGTGCCCGGGGTGGGATTCTTTTACTCGGGTCTTGCGCGCCGGAAATCCGCCTTGTCCCTGATATGGCTCTCCGTCATGTCGATCGCAGTGAGTAAGTAGATATCAAGACTTGCTCTATCCCTTCAAGTCAAACAACAAACCCCGAGCACATCATCTAACGCACAATACAGGCTCGCTGCAGTGGTTTATATGGGGGTACTCGTTGGCTTTTAGTCGAACGGGGGGGCCGTTCATCGGCACTCTCGAAAACTTTGGCTTCAAGGACGTGCTCGCCCATCCCTCAGTTGGCTCCGACCGCATCCCAGACCTCCTCTTCGCCCTCTATCAATCCATGTTTTCCGCCATAACCGTAGCCCTGGCAACGGGCGCCGTTGCGGAGCGCGGCCGGATGCTTCCCTGCGTCGTCTTCATGTTCATCTGGGCCACCATCGTCTACGACCCGATAGCGAGGTGGACTTGGTCAGTTCAGGGATGGAGCAATCGCATGGGTGGCCTCGACTTCGCCGGAGGATCGCCGGTCCATATCGCTTCAGGTGCCGCCGCGCTCGCGTACTCGATGATGCTGGGCAAGAGGAGAGGCCACGGCACACACGAGCTGAACTACCGCCCGCACAACGTGACCCACATCGTGCTAGGGACCGCATTTCTCTGGTATTTAGGCCTTTACCAGCTCCGACTGTATACAAACCAAAAAAAAAAGGCTAACAGTACTGACTGCACTAGGGTCGGCTGGTTCGGCTTCAACGCCGGCTCTGCTCTGTCGGCCAACATGCGCGCCATCCTGGCCGCCACCGTCACCAACCTGTCGGCCTGCCTTGGGGGCATCACGTGGTGCGTCTTGGACTACAGGCTGGAAAGGAAATGGTCGGCAGTCGGCTTCTGCTCCGGCGTCATAGCCGGGCTCGTGGCCATCACGCCCGGGTCGGGGTACGTGCCAGTCTGGGCCGGGGTCCCCTGCGGAATACTCGGGGCCGCCTTTGCCAACTACGCCACCAAGCTCAAGTTCCTCCTGCGCATCGACGACGCCCTCGACATCTTTGCCGTGCACGGCGTCGGCGGCTTCACGGGCAACATCCTAACCGCCTTCTTCGCCACCAACTCCATCGCCAGCCTTGACGGCGTCACGTCCATCCCGGGCGGCTGGCTCGACCACAACTGGATCCAGTTCGCGTACCAGCTGGCCGACTCGGTGGCCGCCATGGCCTACTCGTTCTTCATGACGTGCCTGATCCTGTTCCTGATGAACCTGATCCCCGGCCTGCAGCTGCGCGTAACGGAAGAGGCCGAAATTCTTGGTATTGGTGAGTGGTGACATTATTCTGAAAGCTTCTCTGCTTGCATACCTGGCTAACCAACATTCCCCCCCCCTCCCCTTTAAAAGACAGCGAAGAGATTGGAGAGTTCGCGTTCGACGCGGTCGAGGTGACGCGCGAGGTGCTCAACGAGGTCGAGGCCGAGAACGCGAGCGGCAGGTACTCGGAGGCCGACGACGTCAGCCGGCGGCGCTTCAACGGCTCGGAGCCGCGCGCGTTCGAAAAGACCCACCAGCAGAGCAACAGCGGCGGCATCCCGCTCGTCGACGCGCGCATGTTTGGCGTCCAGGCCGCGCGCTTCAACTCGCGTGATCGGTGATGCTCGTGAGGGTTGGCCCGGGAAGGAGGAGGAATCGAAAGAGGCGAGAGTCATATGTACAGTCTTTTTTGTATATTTGCCATGTATATTATCTGTAGGTACTTTGGATAGTCTTTTTTGTGCTGTTTTATTATCCATTTCGTCTTGCGTAAGGTCTTCGTTCGCAGTAAGTACGTGCACCTGGTGTGGGGGACGACGGCGGGCCTCCCTCGTTGCTAGACTCCAGAGCGCGACGGACGATAATGTCGGTATAGCAGTCGAACTGCTTCTCCGTCAAGTCTTTGAGTGAGACCTCTCCGTCAACAGCGCGCCGGACCATCTTCTTTTAGCCGGGGTGAGGCCAAAGCCTGAGGCATGCGTGGCCGAGCCAAGAGCCACCGGAGTCAACTCCGGACAGGCATGCTTGCGCGGCATTGTCAATGGTTGTGCCTCCAACTGCTGTGCGAGGTGAGGAGTCGTCCGCGACGAGCCCCCGGCGTTAGGAGTAGTTGTCGCGTACGGTAGGCCCAGATTGGCCTTGCGATAATCTTGGCCCTGAGGGCTGAATCGGCCTGGAGGCAACTGGATATTGGCGATCAAACGGAGAACACTTCCAGTAGGAGCATTCCACCAATCTGGCTGGGCGTACACTTCGAGGTGTTCAAGGGCACGCCCGCGGGTTGTTTGGCAAAAGTTGAACGGGCAGTGGTCTGGAAGCTCGTGCTCCGGCACGTAGACGACGTAGTTGAGTAGGTACTCGCCCTCGGGGTGGGCGATGCCTTGTGCGCGTGCTTGGCTTCGCCAATCGGCGATCCGCGTCAGTTTTTCTTGGATGAACTTGTCGAAGGCTTTGTCCGTATTCTTGGTCTTGCTGATTATTGCTTGCTCGCCTCCGTAGAGGAAAATGGAGTGCAGGCATCGTTCGAATGTTGCTTTGCGCCTGTCTCCGTTGTGATAAAAAAGAATTTCCCGAAAGCGGTCCTGTAAATCGTATCTCGGGAAGCTTGGTTACTTGAACGTTCTTCGGCAAGAAAATACACAAACGCAAATCTTCCCCTAACATGAGCAAGCTTGGACTTTACTCGTAAACGAAGTATCCGAGCAAGTGTAGGTGGAATGGGGGGTGGGGTTAAGGGTAGTGAAGAAGGGGAGGGACTAGGGAGAGGATGGGGAGGAGGAAAAGGCCCTAGGGATAATGGAAAATTTGCTAGAAAGGCGCAGGATACGCAAACTAAAGAACGCGTATGTAGGTGGCAACATCGGAGCAACTGGCGCGCGGTTTGCTTTTACCGTGTATGCATCGTATTCTACTCATCGCAGTCAAACACGGCGTTATATAAAATGGGCGGAGGCTGCGTCTGGCCGGATGTTGCCCTCGTCCGGTAGCATAGCTCCTAGCAATCGCAGGATCGCTAGTAAACACCCAGGCACCGCCTGCTTTACTTGTGTTAAACAGGTAAATTCCTTTCTCTTTGGTGTATAAATCATTGCCTATTTCTCCCTCCCAGAAATCGCCGTTGTTCACTCGGTACTCTGCAACCATTCCCCACGTCTACTAAAAGCAGTGTCAAACTCCTTCCTAGAAACACTATATATTCTTTCATCATTGCAAAAGTGCTGTGTTGGTTACATATGCGAACGATGGCGAAAAAAAAATAAAAATACGTTTTATTTAATCTTCGCGTGTTGGCCAGGAAAGGAGCGCCACAGGAATTCACGAGCCGGGTGACGAAAGGGGTGGCTGGCTGGCTGTCGTGATCCGCATGCCACCCGCCTGTGGGGCGGAATTCACGCTAAAATAATGTCGTTATTTATGCTTGTTCGTGGACCCTGCTAGTCTTTCATGTTTCCAGCCCAATCAATGACCCTTGTTGTCCTCCCCAGGTCGAGAGTTCCTTTTGTGGTAATTCTAGATATCGCCAACATTAGCCTGCTCTGCTTGCCTGGCTCGACTTGCTCCCCGGGCACCGAGACGATCAACATCACACCGCCAGCTCAGGCTGCCATCACTCTGATGCCGTCACGACCACGATGAATTCGTGGCCGGGTTCGTCCTTGTCATCGGGCCCTTCTTCGTCAGGCACCTCGTCGGAGTCGCTCCGTAAAAAGAGACGTTTCTTTCGAAGACTACAGTCTCCCTTTGTCTTCTCGCAGGGAGATGGCGACGAACTCGACGACAATGAACTGGAGCTGAGGAGGCGGTCCAGGGCTTTTTTCCCCCGCCCAAACACACACAGCAACGACGACAAATCAGCCGCCCACCACGGCTCGGGCGAGCAGTCATCACAGCAACCTCTGCAAGAGCCCGAACTCCATTCTCGCAGCCAGGAGGCGGTGCCTAGTAGCCCCACGATCACCACCCCAGCCCCAACACCCGCGTCCAAGAACTCCCGGATCGAGGTCATCAAGGGCACACCCTTGCACACTTTCAATCCACGTCGGGGAACCGCCTCGGCCGACATGAGCAGTACGTCCTTCGTCGAAGAGACCCCTCCGCCCGCCGAGCGTACCGCCGCGCCTGCTGCTGAAAGCATGCCGGTACCCGCCAGCGCCTCGAAGCTTATGCTGCGCCGCAGCACCACGGCCCCGCTTCCTGGGACGGCTGCAGCCGCTGCTGCACGTGTCCGGAGTGTCTCGGCGAACTCCCCTTCCGCGGCGGCAGCAGCCACACAGCTCGTGAGGAAGCGCAAGCGGACCACGGCCCGCCATAGCGAGGAGGAGCAGGCGCCCGAAGAGAGGCGCATCTTCCGGGACCTGGCCTTCTACTACGTGCCAGACAACGACATCGCTCCGGCCAGGCGCATCCGCATGGCCAAGGCCCAAAAGTATGGTGCGAGCCGCGTTTCCTCTATCGTCGAGGCCACCCACGTCATCGTCGACAAGGGGCTGAAGTACAAGGATATCGAGCCCCTGGTTGGGCCGTTCCTCACGCCCGGCGCCGCACATGCGCTGGTAGTCGTCAATGAGACATTCCCTGGCGACTGCTTGACTTTTGGGATCCTGCTCAACCCGCTCCAGGATAAGTATCTCATAAAAGGCTGCCCTCAGGCCACAGTTCAGCCAACTTGTACACACACTTCACCGCAGGAATCGCCGTGCAGCTCGCAGCACTCCTTGCAACTCAAAACTGCCGCTTCAAACAAGCGCTCGAGGAAGATAGATTCACGCTCTAGCACGCCTCCTCGGCGCGGACCCCTAGCAGAAACATCGAAGGAGATAATAATTCCTTCTTCGCAAGAAATCCCAAGCGACGAGGACAAGACTGCGAGATTCCAGCATGACAATGTGGGAACAACAAAGACCCAGAGTCGGGAGAAAGAGCCCAAGGATGAGCTAAGTGACTACATTGAGCTGATGGCCCAATACAAGGGCCTTCCTCTAGATGACGAGGACGACGACGTGGTTTCGGTCAGGGAATCCAGGCTTGCCACACCGGACAGGGAGGAGAGCAAGGACGGCAGCGATTCGGAACACGAGCGCAGCAACAAGGCACACGGCGGCCGCGGCGCACCAAAGACGGGCCGCAAGGCGACAACGTGGGAGGACGCATTCGCCTGCAACCACGGCGGGACCAGGGCCGACAAGGCAGCCGAGGCCTCGGCCAACCCCAACGCGCGGACCATCGAGATGCTGCAGAGCATGTGCGACTTTTACGAGCGCACAAACGACCACTGGCGCACGACGGCGTACCGCAGGGCCATCGGGACACTGCGGCGCACGACGGACCGCCGGGTCGCGACCGAGGAGGACGCCGCGAGGCTGCCGGGCGTGGGGCCGCGGCTGGCCAGCAAGATCGAGGAGATCGCGACGACGGACCGCCTGCGCCGGCTCGAGCACGCCCGCGCCGAGCCACTCGACGCCGTCCTCCAGACCTTCCTGGGCGTCTACGGCGCCGGGCTCGCCCAGGCCCGCAGGTGGATCGCCCAGGGCTTCCGCACCCTCGACGACCTGGCCGCGCGCGCGAGCCTGACGCCGGCCCAGCGCATGGGCGTCGAGCGCCACGCCGACCTCAACTCGCGCATCCCGCGGGACGAGGTCGAGGCCCTCGACAAAGTGGTGCGCCGCGCCGCCGCCGCCGTCGACCCGGCCGTGCGCCTGATCCTCGGCGGCAGCTACCGCCGCGGCGCCGACACGTGCGGCGACGTCGACTTCATCGTCACCAGGGACGGCGCCGCCGCCGCCGACGACCTGGTCCCGTTCCTCGACGAGCTGATCGCGCGCCTGACCGACGCCGGCGTCGTGGTCGCCACCGTCGCGGCCCTGCGCACCGACCGGCCGGGCGGCAGCAAGTGGCACGGCTGCTGCGTGCTGCCCCGGGACCACCACCCGCGAGCGCCGCCGGCGGGGGACTCCCGCGCGCCGGTCTGGCGGCGCGTCGACTTCCTCCTGGTGCCCGAGGCCGAGATGGGGGCGGCGCTGATCTACTTCACGGGCAACGACGTCTTCAACCGCAGCATGAGGCTGCTGGCGTCCAAGAAGGGCATGCGCCTCAACCAGCGCGGGCTCTACCGCGACGTGATGCGGGGGCCGAACCGCGTCAAGGTCACGACCGGGGAGCTGGTGGAGGGGAGGGACGAGAGGAGGATATTTGAGATCCTGGGCGTAAAGTGGCGGGAGCCTCACGAGCGATGGTGCTGATTTTTCTTCTTTTCTTCTTTTTCTCTTCCTTTCCTCTTCCACTACTCCTAATCATTCACGCGCGCATGACCCTTTTTTTGCCTTTTAGCATTGTCAGCGACGAATCCCGCCCAGGCTTGTATAAGGGCAGCATATTTGGAATGAAGGCAGTTCTCATCGGACATTGCTCTTGTATCCCTTCTTTTCACAATGCCGATTTATCTGCTAGTTTCTTCTCCTCTGCCCTCTCGGCCATCTGTGATTTTGGTTTAACTTTTGCAAGCACGTCCTTCTACGTGGCAACTCTCCCGTCGCGCTGGCGATGCTCCTCGTGGTATGACAGTCCGAACGGCTTCGACTCATCTCGCTTGACCAAATCATCCAGATCTCAAAGATCATGCCATTTGTGGTCACCCGGATACAAGCGGACGCTGGGGGTTATGAGCATTCCAGCTCTTAGGCACACCGATCGCCTTGCACCATGCCCATTGGTGGTCGAAGCTGTCGTGTTTTTAAGCCAGCGCATCGTGTAGCGCACGGTATCCCATGTGACTTCTTTGCTGTCGAGCTCGGGTAAAGGCCGCCGCTTGTCACCTACCAGCCTACCGACGGACCTCTGTTGGTATCTCCAGCAAAGCGTCGAACGTGTGAGCGTGAACATCCTTAACAAAACGGGTCCGGCGAGCCTCGGGTGACTCCTGACCGCTCTTCTTTGGCCGTCTCGTCCGGGAGACTCCCGAATCACCATAAAGGCGATCTGGCGACGAGACTCTCCGAGCAGTCTCGGAAACTTGTCGAGGATGCCGCTTGGAACCTCAAAGCCACTGGGCGGGTGTTATGACAACCTCAGGTTTTATAGCCTCCCCTCGCATTAGATGGCAGGCTTTTTACAGACCAACTTTTAGCCCAAATCTCTTCCGACTTAGCCATCACTTTCCCCCTTGTACGGTGTAGAAGTTTTCTGGGGTTTTTTTCTTCTTCATCTCTCTTATTTCGCTCCTGTGCCAAATGAACATGGGAAATGGGATAGCCCTCCCAATTCTCGATAAAGTGCGTCTTGGATAATGGCAGACGCCAAAGCGGCCCAAATGGCGGCTTGCTACCCGATCTGGAATGGCGTGGTTGCCAAACCCTTGCCCGGCCTCAACTTCCTTCCCCGCGGACCAGGTCAGGGGTCAAGAGCCGCTGCGGTGGGTGTTTGCCCCGCCACATCAGTGCCGCCAGTGCGACGTGCAGCATGTTAAAAATTTCGACTTTGGGCGCGCGCTCTTTGGGTCTGAAAAAAAAAAAACCGAATCGCGGCTCGTCCTGATTCCACCCAACTCCCACATACTCCCTTGCGGTGTGGAAATTTTCGAGTCTTCTTTTCTCCCCTCGTTTCGCTCCCTCCTACCGAACGAGCCCAGCAAACGGGACAAGCCTCTCTTCTTGTCCTCTTTTGTGCCGCCGCCGTTATCCGCCGCCTTTAACCTGCCCCGCTCCGCTCGTTCCAAGAAGGACTCCCACCCCCAACTACACCATCATGTCCGGCGACGCCATGGACGTGGAGACAGCTGAGCGCCAGCTCAAATCTATGGACCACTCTGAGCAGCACTACTTCAACAGGTGAGCCTGCCTGATCTTCCTTCCCTTCCATCCCTTGGCGCCGTCCTGGTCCCGTATCATGCCCAATGCGGGACCTTCTGCGCAGATCTCGGTCTACATTTAGACCCAGCAGCTGTGCCGGACATCTCCTCCACATCTTGGCAAAGATTAGATGGTCTAACCTTCGCGTATCCGATTTAGCTACAACCACCATGGTACCGATCCCTAACCCACCTCCCAGAGGCGGCCGCCCGCGCGCCAGGTCTGCGCCGAGCTCGGCGCACATGTCTGTGGAACGAGACCCCCGCTAACCAGAAGTTCGTATCTCGTCTGCGGCGCAGGAATCCACGAGGAGATGCTGGTTCGTGTCCATGCCCCCCTCTCGGTTGAACCTTGGACGAGATTTCTGTGACGGCCCTGACTGACCGGCCCTGTGGATTTCCCCGCTTTACAGAAGGACGAGGTCCGGACAAGGTCGTACATGAACGCCATTGTCCAGAACAAGCACCTTTTCAAGGACAAGGTTGTCCTCGACGTTGGCTGCGGAACCGCCATCCTGTCCATGTAAGATACAAAAACTCGCCGACGCTGGCCGGGCCCGAGGGGCGCACAAGGACGCGCTGGAGCGCTTACACGGGCTGGTGTGAAATACAGGTTCGCAGTAAAAGCTGGCGCCAAGCACGTCATCGGCGTGGACATGTCGACCATTATCTTCAAGGCGCGCGAGATCGTCAAGGTCAACGGCATGGCGGACAAGATCACCCTGATCCAGGGCAAGATGGAGGAGATCGATATGCCCTTCCCCAAGGTCGACATCATCATCTCAGAGTGGATGGGCTACTTCCTACTCTACGAAAGCATGCTGGACACGGTCCTGTATGCCCGCGACAAGTACCTGAACAAGGACGGTCTCATCTTTCCCGATAGGGCCATCATCTTCTGCGCTGGTATCGAGGACGGCGATTACAAGGACGAGAAGATCGGATGTAAGCCCCCATCTGTCGATCCCCGCCTTTCCTCGCGAAGGCAAGAACGGAATAAGTGAGAAAAAGTACTGACCCAACCCTGCCTCCCACGGCAGTCTGGGACAATGTCTATGGTTTCAACTACTCGCCACTCAAGGAGACTGCCCTTTCAGAGCCGCTGGTCGACACGGTCGAGCTCAAGGCGGTTGTGACTGAGCCGACCGGTGTCCTGACCCTGGACCTTTACAAGTGCACCACAGCCGACCTGGCCTTCAGCATACCGTTCCAGCTCAAGAGCCGCCGCGACGACTTCATCCACGCCCTGGTATCGTGGTTCGACATCGAGTTCACCGCCTGCCACAAGCCCATCCGCTTCTCGACCGGCCCTCACACCAAGTACACCCACTGGAAGCAGACCGTCTTCTACCTCAAGGACGTCCTGACGGTCCAGCAGGACGAGGAGGTGCAGTGCAGCCTGACGGTCAAGCCCAACGACAAGAACCGCCGTGACCTCGACATCAAGCTCGACTACAGCCTCGAGACGACGGAACCTAAGCGCGCCGCTCAGGGCTCCTGCACCTATAGGATGTGCTGATTGGTTATCAGGACCTCATCGCCGGGATATGTCGGCTGGTGCATGTAGCGATGCGCCCCGGCTGCGAAGATCGCAACATGGCTGTTTGGGGAGAGATGAGATGACCCTGGGTGTCTCTAGCCCACTCATCTCTGGTATCTTATGTATCATGGTGGAGGAGACCTCGATATCCAGCGCTTGCACTGCGTCTTGTCAGGCTGTGGCAAGTCTAAGACCCGAAATTTGCTCCAAGGGAGAGTATTGGCAAATTTCCAAGCGAGTGAGGAAAGGAAATTGTCTGGGCTCTTTTTGCCCTTGCATCTATCAGTGTTGCTATTGCTTCACCGACCGCCATTTTGTCGTCTTTTTTTTTTCTATCTTCATCAGGCTTCGGAGTTGGGCTAGATGGGAGAGGTTGCGTCTGGTGGTGGCACCGGATATCAGACGCGTAGCATATGGATTGAGCGCGCTTAGAGTCGCTAATAAATACGACATTGAAAGCAAGCGGGAGGTTGCAGAAGTGGTTGGTACAGATCTACTATCGACTTGCCCTCTGAAATGATCATCCCGAGGCCGAGCGTCATGGGGAAATACGTGCGCACAAGATGTCATGCTTTGGAGTGTCTTGGTCATGAAGACTGCCACTCCCCTGGCTTTGCCCGGTCTCGATCATTCTCCTCGCGCCTTCTCCCCTCGTCTCCCCGTCCAACCAGGCAGTGTTCAGGGAGACTGACCAGGCCCCATGGCCAGAATAAATTGAAACCTAATCTATCATGTATTCGGCTGTGTTCGTAATCGTTATGCGTAAGGTATGCATCTAACATCATTAATCTCTATAATAAATGGGGGGCACAGTAAAAGTAGCATAACTTTTGTTTCTCTCCCTCATCGTCATCCTCTCGAGTCCTTGGCGTCACGCGTCCGACCCAGCCGAGTTTCGGGCTGGTTTCTTTTTCTCTGCTGAGATTTCGCTCTCTCCTTTGGCCAGTGGAGCTCCCAGACCGTTTTTTTTTCATATTCTGTTTCATTTGTTTTCATTTCTTAGCACTCTTGTGCCTGTCTGCAGGTCCTCCAAAGTTGAAGATCAGGGGTTATCTGGGGCACAGGTCAAGTGAGTCTGTCAGCAGGACGACTCGACCCAGACCTCCTGTATATCGTCTCCCTCGGGCCGCCACGTTCTAGACAGCGCCGCCGTAGGTGGCAATGATGCGCTTGACGTGGTTCGCCAACTCATCGGCCTCGGTCTTGGACGCGGCCTCGGCGTAGACACGACATACGTTCTCAGTGCCCGAGGCACGCGCAAAGGAGCGTGCCGAGGTGTACTTCCTAACAACATCATCGATCTCCTTTTGGGCGCCATGCGGGTGCGAAAGGCGACGCTCGGCGTCGGTGGTCTGGAATACGTCCTTGTCGCGCACCTCGACCTTGACGAGGCGGTTGGGTAGGTCCGTGTACGTCATGGCCCAGTCGCGCATGGTCCACGACTTGTGGGCCAAGATGACCTCGACCATGAGCATGTCCGAGATGGCGTCACCGACCGTCTGGTTGATGAGGTCCGAGCAGGCGGCCAGTGTCTCGAGCGCCTCTTTCTGGGCCGGGCTCTGAGGCTCCTTCTCGCGGAACAGGCGCATGGCGTCGGTCGAGAATACGACGGTGCCGTGGCCGTTGGCCTCAAAGTACACACCGACGTCGAAGTTGCATGCGGCGTGGTGCAGATGCTTGACGCCAGTCGCAGTGCAGACCACTGGGAGGCGGAGGTGCTGCGTGATGTAGTGGGTGCTAGCGCCGTTGGCGTACGCCGTCTGCACCACGCCAATGCGCAGATCATCCTCCAGGTTGGCTGACCGAACAAGATCACCAATGAAGGAGGCGTACAGCGACGAGATGCGGTCGCCATCAAGCATGAAGAAGCCCGTGTCCGGATCGGTCCAGTAGTAGATGAGCCTGTCGGCATCACCGTCGAGCGAGCAGTTCCGCACACCAAGCTCGGGTTGGGGCGTTGGCGGAGCGCGCTGCTTCGTCTTTACAAAATCGGCTCCGGACTAACAGGCGGGCAAACAACAAGGTCAGTCTAGTGCCCCAGCATTGGGGGTACTGGCAAACAGGTCCTAGACCGCTACCGCTGCGGCAAATGCGGGACTTACGTCGAGGTTCAGAACCTCAGGACGGAGCACGTCATCGTTGACGACCTTGATGTCAATGAGGCCCTTGTTGATGTACTTGAGCAGCTCGGAGAGTTTGGGGCCGCCGACCCCGTTGGCGCAGTCGACGGTAAGCGGGCCGTTGACCTTCTTTCCCCTCAGGGCCTTCTCGAAGGCGGCGGCGAGTTTCTTATAGTAGCCAGCCTCGCTGACCTCGCCGTAGGCCTTGGGCGTACCCTCGGTGTTGGTGCAGCGGACGAGGTAGTGCAACTGTGGGGTGGTCAGGATCTTGTAGTCGACGGCCTCGGCGTTGATGGCAGCGAGGGCGGCGGCCAGGGCGCCGACGAGCTTGTGACCCGAGGGGCGGGTGTCGCGGCCGTAGATGACCTTTGCCGGGGCCGAAAGGTCGATGTTGAGCTTGGTGGCAAGCTTGGCGTAGGTGTCGGCCAGGGCCTCGTCGGTCTGGCAGTTGACGAGGGCGGTGGCGTAGGCTTCCCAATCCTGCTCGAGCATCTCGCCCATGGGGTCGACGATCTTGACGCCGTTATCAACGGCCGGGTTGTGGCTGGCCGTGATCATGACGCCAATGGCCTGGCTGCCGAGCTTGCGGCTGCGCAGGGCGGCGAGCAGGCCGACGCGGAAGCTGATGCCCTCGAGCAGGTCGGCCTTCATGCGGAAGCCGGCGGTGCCATAGGTGTAGAGCTTGCCGGCGGGCAGCGGCACGATGGGGTGCTTCTGCGAGGCCGCGACGATAGTCTGGGCGTCCATGGCTGCGGGCTTGTGGACGGTTGCGGATAGCGCGATGGTAGGAGGTGGATGTGGCGAGCGGAAGACGGCCTAGCAGCCGGGAAAAGAACAGAAGCCTAGACGGTTAGGGCTGATAGGCAGACTGGCTGGGAACAGACTGGCTGGGGAGGGGCAGGGAGCTTAAAAGAAGCTGAGGTCTGAGGTCTTTCGGCGCGCACGGCAGGCTCCACCCTGTGAGCTTGCACTGCATGGCCAAGCCCGCGTCCAGTTGAGCTGCGCGGGCGGGTGTGGCACGGCGGGGTAACAGCCAGCCCCACCTCGAGACAGGGTACGTACCGGACTAGCCCAGCACGCCGCTCCAAGCAGAAAATGTCCTGTCATCACCTCGCGTCGTCACATCCCGCCACAGTTCCAGACCGCATTTCCAGGCGGGGTCACGGCAGTTTCGGTGGCTCTGCCCCTTGGATCAGAATGCAGGTTGATGCTTTACCGCTGTTCTGTCGCTCGATCGGTGTTTCAAGTTGAGAGTGCTCGACCTTGGTTACAAATCCCTGCCCGGGTGGGGACGCCAGCTTTAGAGATCATGTGACTTGGCGATTTGTTGCACTCTATGACGCGGTATGCGACGCGTCGGATTTCCCCCTCATCCAGACCCGCCACCTTTGTCTGTCATCGCCATTGCTTCGCCACAGCCCCTCTCCTTGCTAAACATTACCACCATATTCTGCTCGCCCGCGCATGTCGAGCCATACCTGCGCGTGTGGGGCTCCTTGATTCGTGCGGCGGCGAGGATGAATGCTTCCATGCTGCCGTCGTAAACAGCTAGCCCAGTCCTGTGCACCCCAAACTGTGCTCTACAATTTGCTTCTTCCCGCACCTGCATGATCTCGCTGTC